GCACTTCATTGTTCCTGATCTAGGCTAATATGTAAGCTATGTGTAAACATTCCTCTATGTAAAAGTAAGGAAAAAGAAAACATAGAAAACCTGTCTCTGTTTGGGTTTTTTGTCTGAATCTCCATGAGATGTTTGTGTTTTGAGTTTGTTCATATACCTCTTGAACATGGTATATGCTTTATGCATTGGTGCTACAAACTCGAAATCTAAATGTATTCGCTCTGCTTTACTTAGGTTTTTATTTGTTCATATGTATTGCTCGGTTCCAACACTTGATCGACGTACCGAAAAGAATGATTCAAAAATCAAATTGAAGACTCATAACGATACAAAAGCCAATCATCATTTACTTGAGACATAACAGAGTCGTTAGAAAGAACGTTGCTTTGATATTTAACTCCCACTCGCATTATCCTTCTAAACATGAAATGTGTTTTTCTTAGTTAAACTGTTGTTTTGGAGATGATGAATTAGATTCATTGCTAATTCATGATCAATACTCGTTACAATTTACGACTCCAAATAACACCAAAAGATTCGACTTTATAACAACTCAGAAAGTCCATAGCTCAGAAGTAAAAAAGAAACAACAAAGCTCTGTTTTATTAGCAAGAGAAGCTTTGAAACAAAAGTCTTTTCAAATTCAATACATTGAAGAAGAAGAGACAGGAATGAGAGAAACAAACAAAAAAAGAAAACTTGTGGATCCTTTTATTTTAAAAAACAGAATCATCAATAAGAATCCAAACTAAAAACAAAATTACAGTAGACAAAGAAAAGCCGTACGTAATCTTGTGGGTTTAAAACGTCTTCTACGTTTCTACTTGTCTTTAAGAAAGCTTTGAGCTTCACAGTCCGTAGGAAGAGCTGGAATCGCTCCCTTTTTGGTCGTAGTGATCGCTCCACAAGCGTTTGCGAATCTCAGCACTTTTCTCAATCTCTCTTCCTCCTTTACAGCCAACAAAAACCAGTAACAATCAATTGAGTACACATAAGATCATTGTAATGGTTAAATTTAGGATTTTTGTGTTACCTCGAACACAGATTGATCATCAACAATCTGGTTAAGAAGTGCACCAACGAAGGAATCTCCAGCTCCAGTAGTATCCACCGCGTCCACATTAAAAGTTTCAACAGTTCCATGGAAATTCTACACAGAAGTAATAGCCAAATTAGCTTCCTTGAGTAACAAGAAAAGTAAAAAAAAAAGAAAAGTGATTGTTAGGTTATGCCGTTATGGTACATTACCTTAGCGTAATAGCGACATCCATGTTCGCCGACGGTAACGAGCAAGAGTTTCAAATTGGGATGCCACAAAGACATTGCTGTCTCATCATCGATTGTTTTGTTTCCGGTAAGAAACTCAAGCTCGACGTCACTGACCTTGATGATCTCAGCTTTGTCCCAAATGCTCATGATCTGTGTCCGAGCTTCTTCCGCCGATGGCCAAAGAGGTTCTCTGAGGTTTGGGTCGTAGGAAAGAAGAGCTCCGGCTTCTTTCGCCACTTCCATTGCCTTCAAGTGAGCCGACCTGCATGGCTCCGTTATCAAACTAATTGATCCATAATGAAACACTTTCGCCTGCAAAAACATACGAAAATATATACATATCAAATCTCTAACCAATAAAAAAACTTCGATTGTTTTTGACTTGTAAGCCCATAAAATTTAAACTGAAACGTATTTTGATACTGTGACTCGCACTAACACAAACTACTAGACTACATTCAAGTTTTTTTTAGTGTTTTAGAAAGTCAAAAACCTTAAACATGAAAACAGAGAGGGAGGTTTACGTACGGATCTGATTAGTTCGAGGTTGAGTTCGTCTGGCCGGAGAAGCATATCGGCGCTCGGATTCCGGTAAAACATAAACTCCCGTTCACCATCCGAACGCAAAGTGACGAAAGCAAGCGCGGTTCTTGCTCCTTTGTCGAAATTGATCCCCTTATCTTCAACACCATTCTTCCTCAAGATTCCGGCAAGCATATGTCCGAACTCATCATCACCGAGCTTCCCGACAAAGGCGGCACGACCACCGAGACGCGAGACAGCGATTGCAACGTTGGCCGGTGCACCACCAGGAGCTTTGAGGAATCCGGCGGATTCAGAGAGAGAGACGCCTGATTCCGTGGGGACGAAGTCAATTAGCATCTCGCCAAAGCTCACGATCAAACCTTTTTCTCCGGTGGACGCCATTTCAACGAGCTCGATTTTGTGTACGAAAGATCGGTGAATGAAGATAATTGAGAGAATGAGAAGTGAACGAAGATTGGAGTAGTTTATATAAGGGTCTAAGAGAGTGAAGATAGGAGCGTTTAAATCTTTTGAGGTCATTTTACTCTAGTAAAGAAAAAAAAGCATATTGTGAAAGATAAAAAAATATAAGAGTAAACAATCATATCCTTGTAGATATAATCGAAAAATGTTGGAATGTATAAGTTTATAGAAATTCTGGATTACTATTTCTGTAATTTCAGATTTCTTAACATTTCTGCAAAAAATTCTTCTATTGTATTTTCATTTTTTCTATGAGTGTAGTTGAATATCTTTTACAGTTCAATGGATCATACATACAGCTCATGTGAAAAATAAAATTGTGTATATATTCGCCTTTTACAGAAATATAAAACGTAAGGATTGCATTTTCATACAATCAAATTC